GGCGGTTGTATTTATAGCCCCCCACCTTTAGTCGCGGTTGGGGAGGAGACCCGCGACTAAAGGTAACCTTTAGTCGCGGTTGGGGAGGCGACCCGCGACTAAAGGGTAACCTTTAGTCGCGGTTGGGGAGGCGACCCGCGACTAAAGGACTTTTTTGGCGGGCCCGCGAGCAACAACCTTTAGTCGCGGTTGGGCAGGCCAACCGCGACTAAAGGTATTTTCCAAATCTTAAAAATACAAATAATATATCAAAAAATTCAGAAAAAAATAACTAATTCAATTCAATATGTTAAAAACACAAATATTATATCAAAAAATTCAGAAAAAAAAAACTAATTCAATTCAAAATTCTAAAAATACAAATAATATATCAAAAAATTAAGAAAAATAAAACTAATTCAATTCAATATGTTAAAAATACAAATAATATATCAAAAAATTCAGAAAAATAAAACTAATTCAATTCAAAATTCTAAAAATACAAATAATATATCAAAAAATTCAGACACATCAAAGGTTCATCAAGCATCATGCATTTGTTAAACTAACTAGCTACAAACAATATAAATTAAACAATGAACTGCACACATGCATATTTTATCAATGACACATCAAAGGTTCATCAAGTTGCTAACCGCGATCGAGGAGTGTGGCTCCAACACTTCATGTCATGTTTGTTTCATGCTCTTGGGGCATTTCATCAAACATCTTATGTGCATAAGAGGAACCAAAAGCAAACCTACACCCACTTGTGAAGAGAATGGCTCCAAATGGCTAAGTGTTGGCTGCTGGATGGGTATATATAGGGGAGGGGCTTTAGTTGCGGTTGGCCTGGCAAATCGTGACTAAAGGTGCTCGAAGGCCTTTAGTCGCGGTTGTCCTGGCCAACCGCGACTAAAGACCCTCACGTGCGCCAGCTGGCCACCGAGCGCCCTGGGCCCAGGCCTTTGGTCGCGGTTCACCTCCAGAACCGCGACTAAAGGTCCCATTAGTCGCGGTTCCTACAGCTTCGCGACTTATGGGGCTGGACGGAAGCCTGTTTTTCCACCAGTGATTAATGTCAGGCCGTCGGTTAACTTCATTAAAATTAAGCAAAAGCCATTTTATCAGTACAAAAGTTGATAATACAAAATTGTAAAACAATAATAGTTTTCCTCTTTGATCTGGACCGAGCCTCAAGTTTTCTTCTCCCGGGAGTTGAGTTTTAAGATTTTTCATATCTGGACCGACTGAGACGTACCCTACCATCCAGTTTATACAAGTTCCGCTCAAATTTTCTTCATGTCCATCTCATCTTAACCTTGTCTTACTTTATTTTGGATTCACAAATCTTTTATTTTTAAGATATACGCCCTCCGTACATAAACTTGCAGCGCGGGTACAGTTTCATACAAAAACTTACAAATTGACTCAAATTAGCCCCTAAACTTATTTTGCGGGAACAAACTGATACAAATTAGTTCGAAACCTGCCCGTCGGATGAGAGGCACACACCAGTCACTTTGGTTTTCGTTTCTCATCGGCCCTTCCCTTTCTGTTTCTCGTTGCCGACGGTGCGATGGTCGCCGCGAACGAGATTGACGTTGGATGGAGCCGCGTCCTCGCGGCATTGGCGAGTTCTGCCGGACTACGGTATGAAATCACCTTCCTTCTTCTATGTTGGATTGTCCCCCCTGTATCTGCGTCTCTTATCACTAGGGTTTTCATCCGGTTTGATCAGTGGTATATTCACCCGCATGTGGTTTTTTTGTGGTGCGTATGGTTAATAATCAGGTGTCGGTAGATGAAAGGCGTATTTCCGCCCGCTTGTCATTGTTTACTGAAATCAGTGTTGGGTGTGATGTTTAGAGTTGCAGAAAGTAGTGTTCTACTAAAGTGGAGTTGATGTCGTGTGCTCATAATCTTGTGATGTGTTTACTTTCATAGTTTTGTGACTAAGGGCATCTCCAGCCGCGCTCCCAGGAAGGCCTCCCTAGGCGGTTTTTTTGCGCCGGCGCCGAAAAATCGGCCCAGTCCCGCCCCCGGGAGCCCGATTTTCGCCGGCTTGGGCGAACTGTTTTGGCGCGAAACAGCCGCGGGCCCGCCGCGTCAGCGACTCTACCCTCTTCTCGCCCCTTCGTCGTCCTCATCGCCTCGTTTCCCGCAGCGAATCAATGCCAAAGCTGTCGCGCTGCCGTGCCGGTCAGCCTGCGCCATTGATGCCTCACGGGCGGCGTAGTGAAGACCGGATGACGCGCGTCCCTCGCCCTCGCTCGCCCGCCATGCGTACTCACGGTGGCTCGCGCACGGGCGTCGCCTCGTCCTATATAAGACGAGCCCCAGCGCACTCGGCGACTCGTACTCTCTCGTCGGCGTCGTTCCTCCCTCTTCTCTCTCTCGCCGTCGTCGTTCCTCCCTCTCCTCTCTCTCGCCGTCTCCAGCACCCATGGCCAAGCGCTTCCCAGGCGACGGTGCGGCGGCGAATGGCTTCGGCCGCCGCCATCTTCACGAGAGCGAGCTCGCCTCCTTTTCGAGGCCGAGTACCAGGTCCCGCCGGACATGCGGGTACCCGGGGCATGGAGGATCAGCGCCGGCGGCGTGCCGGTGCCCCCGATACCCACCGGCGCGGCGCGGCGTGCGGAGATCGCACGCATCCGCTCGTCCCTGCCGCGTGCGGCGAGGGAGGGGCCACGTTACGTCCCCGACAGCTCGCTCTGGGAGCCTACTTCTGCCGCCGTCACGCCGAGCAGCTCGAGGCCACCAATGGCATCGAGCCCTCCGGCAGGCTCAACGCCGTCGGCCGGTGTCGGTGGTGGGGCGTGCCCGGGCGCATGTTGGAGGCCGTCCTCGAGTACATCAAGGGCGGCAACACGCCGCGCCTCGAGTACCCCACTCCCCCGTCCTTCACACGCCGCCGAAGAAGCTCCTGGACCCCGAGGCGCATGGAGACCGGGGGGTCCTCCTCCTCGTCCGGCGGCTCCCCCTGCCTCCACCTCCGCCCCGTCAAGCCGGAGCCCCAGGGCGCGCCTGTCAGCGCGCGCACCCGCAGCTCCGGCGTCCGCATCAGCGACAACGCCTCCCCCACCGGCCGCTTCGTCCTCGTCGAGCCCAAGCCGGAGCCCGGCCTCCCCGTGGAGTACGAGGAGATAGCCCAGTGCGGCTTCTCCGACGAGGACGCCCTGCGGTGGGCGCGGGACGACTACCTCCGCGTCGAGATGGTCCGGCAGCGCCGGGCCCTGGAGGAGATCGCCGCCCGCAAGCGTGGGCGCGAGGACGAGCACGGCGTCGTGGTCCTCAGCGACGACGACGACGACGCCCCCGGACCGTCCAACCCGCCACGCCAACCGGGGGAGGGATGCAGCAGGGACGGCGGAGGCGTCGACGGGGGCGACGACGACGACGACGACGGCGGCGGTGACTACACACGGTTCTACCGCCTCCTCGGCATGTAGAACTGCGTGGGCGGGCGGTGAGGCGGGCGGCGAGGGAGACGGCGGGGTAGCCCACGGTAGTTTTTCCCTTTTTTTGTAAAGTATGTTTAAATTTGAACGAACTCGCCGATGTTTGCGTTAAATTTGAGTCGTGTTTGCGCCGTATTTGACTTTTTTAAAAACCTGTGGGGGGCCGCGACTGGGGGGCATCACGCCCCCAGTGCGCGGTTTAGCGCGGTGCGCCCCCAGGGGGCGATTTTTTGCCCCTCCTGAGGGGCCAACGGCTAGAGATGCCCTAAAACATGTGTCGTTTAAATCTTTTCACTACCACTATTTACATACCTCAGATGAACAGGCTAGAAACCTACGCCCGAATCCTTCTGTACACACTCTAAGAACAGGGCTACGAAAATGCCCACAATTCTCCTTCTCAATGTCACAAAAGTCAGGGCAATACTCAAATGGTGGAATAAACCCATCAAAATCATACTCAGTGACCGTTTGCATTTGACTCCGCAAAAAATGTTGAGTTCTGCTCAAAGTCACATATTGTAGGACACGAGAAATTACGAATAGAAAAGCACCCCCGCACTTTTTTTTTGAGTCGAAATGAAGCTCGGATGTCACCCACCATTCTTCAGTACAACCGTCACCCAGGCCGCCGCCGGGACCGACATTGGCACCGCCACCGCCCATGGGCCATGCGGCCACGAGGAGGGGCTGAATATCCGCTAACGAGGACGTCGTGTCATGGCAAGCCACCTTCTCCCGTCCTTGTCGCGGTCGTTGCTACTATCAAGGGTTAGGGATTTGGCTTGAGAGGAAGGCTGCCTCGGTTGAGTGTGAATTTGCGGGAAGAACAGAGAAGAACGGCTAGGGATTTGGCTGGTGCATGGCGAACAGAGAGGCTGGCTAGGCTACTCGGGGATCTATTTACATCATATAGCGGGGGTTGCTGTAAATTAACCTGGACGTGGGCGAAGTTTCTAGAGCCGACGTGGCAGGTTTTAACTAATTTGTATCAGTTTGTTCCCGTAAAGCAAGTTTAGGGGCTAATTTGAGTCATTTTGTAAGTTTTTGTATGAGATTGTACCCGCGCCGCAAGTTTATGTACCAATAGTGCAATTAACTTTCGAAAAAATGTATAAAAATGAATGTATCTAGAGAAATGGATAAAATTGAATATGTCTAGATACATTTATTTCTTATTTCTCCGACGAGAGTATTTCAGAACGAAGGGGTATTAAAAGTTTGCAAATCTTGAAGCAAACCCGGCATGAGCCATTCGACCCAACTGAACCAGCAGCATTGACCTCTTCTCCAAGCCAAGGAAAAAAGAAAAGCCCTCTCCAACCTCCCCTCCCCTCCTGCCCTCCCAAAAGCCGTCCCCTTCCCAAAGAAAGAACCACACGCGCAGCAGGCACAACCAACCCACACCCCCGCCGCCGCCGCCGATCTCCCTCCGATCCCCCAAGGTAAGCGCCCCTCCCCACACCCGCCCGATCACGGATCCCCTCCCGCGATCTCACCTCGCCGCATTCCCGCGGCTCTCCCTCTCCCAGGAGCCGTCGCGTCGCAGCAGATCCGTCCATGGCGGCGCTGGGGTCCAAGCTGGCGCAGCTGCAGGCCAAGGCCTGCGAGGCGACGCGGTTCGTGGCCAGGAACGGGTGCGCCTACCACAAGACCCTCATGGAGAAGAACAAGCAGTTCGTCGTGCAGCCGCCCACCGTCGAGAAGTGCCAGGAGCTCTCCAAGCAGCTCTTCTACACCCGCATCGCCAGGTCCATTCCCCATCTCCCTCTCTATACCTCCCCGCGGTCCTTGTCTGGGCGTGCCCGGTGGCGGATCGATTGCGCGGTCCTCGATGTGCATGATCTCGATCGATGCAGTCGCTGATGCCATCTGTCAAACCTATCGTTTTGTTCGTGATTGGAACTGCTGTTCTTGGCGTGACTTGTCAGATAGACAGTGTCCTAGGTCATACTGTTAACATATCTTGTTTGGTAAAACCTAATTTATATCGCATTGCATCTTTGTTGACTTGTGGCTGCTTGATGAATGAAATGCGGTAATACTACATTATGCAAGTGTTATGATTGAGCAAACTATGAAACAATGTTATGAAAATGGGGTGATGCGGTGATCTTATCTTATCTGCAAGAAATGGAACACCAATAGATAAATTGCCGGCTATTCATAGAACCTAATTTAGGTTGCCTCTTTGTTTGATTCGTGGATTCTAGATATAAACTAGTAATACTAGTGCATTACTAGAAGTGTTCTGATTGAAGAAACTATGAAACTGTATTTCTGAAATGTCGCGATGCTATCCTATTTACAAGAATGAAAATGATGAGCCATGTTTTATTAATGGATGGTTCAGATTGCTGCACAGATTGTTAGTGTGTAACTCTAATTCCATCGCGGGGCCCTGGCTCATTCCCAATTGGTCTTGTTCTGACCGTAAGTCCTTAGATTGGAACACCAAGTGTTGGCTGAGAGTTTTTCTAAGTTCTCTGTAAACGAAGATGTAATAATAGATAAATTGCTGTTTTTTATATGTTCATGTGTTTCTAGTTCATGTCAATTTAAGATGAAATTAGGATTTCTGCTTGATTTAACTAACTTCATCATGTCAAAAAGCTCCTTTTCTGATTTTCAGTAAGTTTGTTAATAGTTATTTCTTCATTTCTCCTTTGGGAAGGTTACTATAAACTTCTGTTTGGATTTCATAGCGTAATAGAATGTGCTCTAGTTATACCTTTCGTAAGGGTTTTTTGTTTTGATACTATGGTATATTGGTCTATATATGAGGGGGTACTGTCATTATGACTTCTTGAATAGTTGTACTTTGCAGAAGTTTTGGTGAATACATCAAGTCATCAACCTAAATCTACATATGCAATTTCCTGAACCATGCCCTAGAACTGAATACCTGCATATTGCCCTTCTATAGTTCCAACCATAAGACTGTCTTTAAAAGCTAGCTACTCATCACATTTACCTGTCATAGTTTCATATCGAAATGCTGTACTTCATTGGCCGCAGCTTGACTATTCACTGTATCTGTAGCACTGACACATGCATGTCTCCTGCAGCCTCCCCGGCCGCTATGAGGCATTCTGGAAGGAGGCGGACCAAGTGAAGCAGCTGTGGAAAAACAGGAAAGATCTGAACGTGGAGCACGCGGGCATCATCGCTCTGTTCGGCCTTGAGCTCTACGGGTGGTTCTGCGTCGGCGAGATTGCTGGCCGGGGTTTCACCTTAACGGGCTACAGCGTCTGAGCGCCTTCCTTCCACGAGTACCTTCACGCGATCGTCGTCGATTAAGAGCTGAAGACTCTGTTAGCCAATCAGTTTCTCGTGATGCGCGTGCGAAGTTTTGGTTTTCTGAAAAAAAAATACTATTCTTGATGCTGGTGAAAAAAGTACACCCGGCTCGGTGAATTCGACTCGTCGATGAGGTCTAATAATTTGTCGCACGCTTAGTTGAATGATTGAAGCCTGGACAGATGAAATGTCTGTGACTGTGATGTTTGCCTTGCTTGCTTGCTAAAGTCAGGGCAAATTAGGCTCTTCCAGAAGAAATGATGAAATGAATTTGACTTGGTGATGAGGTAGTATAATAATGATCTCCCCATTTCACTTGGTTGAATGAATCCTGGATGGATGAATTTATCTGTGATGTTTGCCTTGCTTGCATACCAAAATCAAGGCAATGATCTCCCCATTTCATTGCTCCAGCATCTAAATTGAGTTGATATATGTGTTCTTTTGTCACGCTGAGTTTGTAAATCTTAATCAAAGCGATTGCATAACCATGTCACCAGTTCATACCGGTGATTGGTCGACAGTTGTAACGCCGGTGCAAAGCTGCTGCCGGAGTAGCTGCTCGGCCACACACCGGCGCTCTCCCTGCTGCTCTCCCGCCGCCGGGATGATCACCGGTCGATGACGGGCAAGTCAAATTGCATAGTGTAACTCGTTGCGCACGAGTAAAGCCCCAAAGCCACCGCGACCTCCCCTCTCCCTCCCCCACTAAAAACCGAGGAAGAGCCGAGCATAGGTAGCCGATCGACGGCGGCTGCTCCGGCGACCGTGTCCTCATGTACGCGGCCGCGCGCCGCCTCCTCTCCACCGGGGCCTGGACCAGTACGTCGTCGGCCAAGACAAGGCCAAAAAGGTTAACCTCAGAGACCGTCCCGTTTTGTGCACAGTTTACTGCAGAATTAGCAGGATTGTGCTAGTTTTGTGCACAGTTTTGTGCTAGAACAGAGCAGAATTCTAGTAGTGCAAGCCATGAACGGATTCAGCAAGGGGGTTGGCTGTGCAGGTGCTCTGCGTCGCCGTGCACAACCACTACAAGAGGATATACAGCGAGCCCTCCACCAACAGGTTAGATTCCTCCCATCCGGCGGCTGAATTTGTTGGTGCTTCGTGTACAGTGAGCCCTCCGATAGGTTCTGACTGAGAGTTTCATTTGTGGTTGTGGTGGTCATCAACCTTCAACCCTAGCTCATCGCAAGCCTCGGCGGCCGATGATGATACTGAGCTCGAAAAGAGTAACATCCTTCTGCTTGGGCCAACTGGATCAGGTGCTTTAGAAAGTGCATGTGTTTTACCACTTGGATGTTCCAATGTCATGTTGTTTGCTTGCTAATGTGATGCAATTGGATCAGGTAAGACACTCCTGGCAAAAACGCTCGCTCGCTTTGCGTATGTGCCCTTCGTGATTGCTGATGCAACAGCAATTACACAGGTAATCATGGCTTGTGTCGCATGCCACCAGAAAGCTCTGTTTGATGCATTGGTCCTTCATGCTTATCGTGGCAAGAAGAATCAGGAAGCTGATTTTAGTGCTTCTTTCTTCTTTCTGATGCTACAAATAGACTGCTCTTTCAGGCTGGGTACTACGGGGAAGATGTGGAATCAATCGTCTACAAACTTCTAGTGGTACTTATCAGACTATGAATCTGCTCTGACTGTTTGTTCACTCCGCGTTTAGCTATGTGGTGCCACTAGTTTTATACTACTACCATTGTGTTAAAACAGAGCGTCGGTGCATTTCAGCAATTTTGTTATAACCAACTACTTTCTGTCCTTGGTGATTCGTTGGGTCCCCAAAGGAACTGTCCCTTATGCACTAGATCACACTGACAACTAACATGTTGGATTCTGATGTGTTCTGCCTCTTAGGCTGCTGACTTCAATACTACTTTCTGTCCTTGGTGATTCGTTGGGTCCCCACAGGAACTGTCCCTTTTAATATGCACTAGATCACACTGACAACATGTTGGATTCTGATGTGTTCTGCCTCTTAGGCTGCTGACTTCAATGTCGAAGCTGCAGAGCGTGGCATCATCTACATTGATGAAGTTGATAAGCTCGCAAAGAAGGTTGTTGTAAAGCATTTCTGATCATTATTACCACTACCGTGATATATACTGGAGCGCGTTACATGTACGCTAATATGATACATTGGTATATTCAGGTCGGTTGCCAGGAGGAGCGGAGGGATGTCTCTGGAGAGGGTGTCCAGCAAGCACTCTTAAAGATGTTTGAAGGAACGGTAAGTGGCTATGTTATGTTTGTAGTTGTATGCTCTTTAGAAGAGTGCATGGTTTCATAAACTACAAAAAGATTTCTAGTTTCCCTAGTGGATAGACTCCAGACTCACATCTTTATGTGAGTCTACTATGTTAGAACATTTCTGTGAATGCTATTTCGATCTAAGTGGTCCTATTCTCTGTCCCTCACCGTATTCGATTTGTTCGTTTCTAAACAAGAACGATTCCATTTTTGTGTTCTTAGGTGATCAGTGTGCCAAGGAAAAGAAGTCAAAATGGCCTGTCTCATGGTTGTGTCGAGGTAATTGTTTTTGAGAATTTTTACAGGCTACTAATACCTTTATGTTGCCTAGTGCCTACTACCTAGCTCAGTAGCCGTATTTCGACAGTTTAGCACCAAAAGCTCCAAACTATTGAATGGTGCTATGACTTTGATAGTCATAATCTTCAATATGTGGTTGTTGCTTGCATGAGTGACATGTGGTTAACTGAACCTCATAGATGGCTGCTATTCTTTTTGTTTCAGGCAGTTGGCAGTACGAACTAAATTTACTACAAAAATGTAATCAGTACCTTGCATTACAATGACGAGTTGGGGATATGTTTAATTTGTTTTGCAGGTTGATACAACAAACATACTCTTCATTTGTGGAGGTGCCTTCTCTGACTTGGGAAAGATTATCTCAGAAAGGTTATTCAGATCTCTACCTTTTGGAACTATCCTACTCTTCTTTTATATATAACCTCCATGTCATGTCTGAAAGTATCTGTGTGCTATGCAAGACTTCACCGCTGTCCTTTTGGTTTCGGAACACCAATACGTCATGAATTGGGGGACTATGCTTTGACGAATGCTCTTGAACAATCAAGGTTGCTTGAAGAGGTAAGCTTAGTTACCGGTTTTGTGACACGTTTTAGTTGTTATTAATGCCCACATTGATACAAAAGATAATATTTGATAACTCCTTATTTAGATCGAGAATGATGATCTGATTGCCTATGGCCTGACACCAGAATTTATTGGGAGGTTGCCAATAATAGTTGGCTTGACTCATCTCACTGAAGATCAACTGGTTCAGGTAGCAAACATTTTGCGCATTTTTGTTTCCTTCCTGACTATTTTATTTGGGATCATCTCTATTATAATCATTGCTTCCAGAAGGTTTGCTTTGTAGTCCAGTCTACTATATTCTGCATAGCTGTGCATTTTGTCAACAACTTGAAAACCTAGCTAATTTATCTTTTCAGGTTCTCAGAGAGCCCAAGAACGCAATAGGCAAGCAACACAAGAAGTTGTTCAAGATGAATGATGTTAGTCTGTGATTTGTTCGTGTCAGAAATTTCAACTAAAGAATTCCTTCTTTGATGATTTATAACAAGAAATGTGTTTGTTCATTTTTTTTCCTCGACAAGGTAAAATTGCATATTACTGAAAACGCTTTGAGGCTAATAGCAAAGAAAGCAGCTGTGAGGGAAACTGGGGCGAGAGGCCTACGATCTATAATGGAGGGCATTTTGACAGAAGCAATGTTTGAGGTGGTTTGTACTTTATTTTCGGCATGCCATGAGACTGTGGGTAACCGAGACTGACGTCAATTTGGCCCTTACACTTGCAGATCCCCGATGACGCAGGAGAGGGGAAAGAGAAGATAATTGCTGTTCTTGTTGATGAAGAATCAGTAGGGACACCGACCCGTCTAGGCTGCGGAGCCAAGATTTTCCGAGACGATGGAACCCTAGAACTATATGTTTACCAAAACAATATCAGGGTGCCTGGGCTGATTCAGAGGCCAAAATGCAGTATCATTTGCCGGCTGTGCCTTCTGGTAGCTTTTTCAGCAGCTAAGCTATGGTTTTATCATACATTTGATTGTTTCTCGTCAATATACACGTGGATTATATTGATCCTGTGTAAGGCAAACATTTTCACAGGATGAAGTACAACACGATTTCAGATAGTAGTATGGCTGAGTCTCACATTCTGCTCTCGTCTGTAGTTCGTGTTGCAGTTCCAACCGGAAATACAACTGGTTTACAATTTCATTATACTGAACAAATAGGAAAAATATACTACCCATGACAAATCATCAAGATCTCATTGTTATCGCTCTATAGCTATGCATCAATCACAGTTACACAAGGTCTCAACCGGAGATGCGGTCGAAAGCTAAAAACCTTTGTAGCCATCAGAGTTCATACAGATTGATGCTCCTAGAATCGATACGAAAAATGCAGGCCAGCCTGTGATTTTAGTGCTCAGAAAAATGCAGGACAAGAAGGCTCATGGCCATCAAAATTGCTCCTGCCCATCTCCTTTTGTTTCGGTACTAATTATTGGAGTGTCTTGAGGCGCACCTTCTCCAGGTGAACTAAGGCCAAGCCTGCTGAGAAGCCCGCCGTCGAGAGCGTTTGGAGTAGATGCAGGTTCTGCTGTCTCACCTTCAGTTTTCCTTCTATGGCCAATGATAGCCTCAATGGCAGCAGCACTAGCTTTTGCTGCAGCCTCATCCTTGGCAGCGGCCTCTGCCCTCCTCGCCGCCCTCTCTTCCCTGGCAAGTGCCTCTGCCCTCGCCTTCTCTTCTTCCGCCCACAGAACTGCTTCGGCCTTCTCCCTCTCCACGTCTTCATACAGCTTTGCTATGTCATCTTCCCTGCCCTCTCCACGGAGCGCGCCTTCAAGAAGCTCCCTCATCTCATCGCTGAAAACCACATTCTCATCCAAAAGGATACACTTCGCTACTTTGACTGCATCATCCAACCGCGTCGCGCCAACGCCAACATACGCCTTTAGCAGTGTCTCGTAGGTTGCAGTGCTTGGGTGAATTTCCTTCTCCCTCATCTGATCGAAGTACTCATGAGCCTTGTCGAGCAAGCTTAAACCAACCAAGCCGTCGACGATCCTATGATAATGCGATGCATCAGGCTTCAACTCCAGCTCAGCCATTCTGTTGAAGTAGCTGATACCATCGTCGATGCGATCAGCCTTAAAGCACGCCTCCATGAGCAGCACACATGTCTCCTCATCTGCAACAAGACCATGCTCGCCCATCTCCTTGTGGAGCACCTCTGCCTCATCTGCCAGCCGATTAAGCCCGAGATGCCGAATCAGATTGTTGTATGCTGCTACATCCGGTGCCACCTTATACTCTCCCATCCTCCGGAACACCGCAATCGCATCCTCAAACCTTCCGGCAGCACAGTAGGCATCCACCATCACGCTGAAGCTTCTGACATCAACTGTAATCCTCAATGGAGGGTCATGCTCCCCAAGCATTCTGTCGAACAGGTTGAGTGCATCCTCTAACCTTTCATTCTTCCCAAGCGCATCGAGCACCTGAGTATAGCTCTCCGTCCCGAACCTCACCTCCGATTCCGGAGCGAGCAGCTCTTTGCAGCACTCCATGGCCTTCTCCTCCATTCCCATAAGGAAGTAGGCCTTCATGAGGCTCCCGTACACGATGCCATCAAGGACCGGCTCGCCGCCAAGCTTGTCCTGCAGTTCTTGGTGCAGCTCCACTGCTTTGGCCCCATCCCCGGCCTCCACAAACCCAGCCATGAGGAGGCTGTAGACATGGGGATCGGGCCCGACGAACCCGGAGTCGAGCATCTCGTCCTTGAGCGCGACGGCGTCCGCGAGGCGGCCGTGGTCCGCCACGAGGCACCTGACGACGACCCGGTAGGCGGTCGGGGAGGGTGGCACGGGGGATTCGGGGCGGGCGATGAGGCGGAGGTGGAGGAGCGCGGCGTCGGGGAGGCGGCGCGCGGCGAGGGCGGAGAGGTAGAGCGCGTGGGTGGCGGCGGTGGGCGGGACGGCGGCCTGGAGGGCGAAGCGGTGGAGCGCGAAGAAGTCGTCGAGGCGGCGCGCGCGGAGGAGCGCGGCGAGGACGGCGACGCAGGTGAAGGAGGAGGGGCGGCAGTTGGAGTGGAGCGCGTGGCGGGTGAGCAGCGCGGCCTCGTCGAGGTCGGCGGCGGTGGGGGAGAGGAGGGCGAGGACGCGGTTGTGGAGCGCGAGGCGGGAGGGGGCGAGCGAGGGGAGCGGCTCCGCGAGGCGCACGGAGCTCGGGGAGGACGGCGGGGCCGGGGGCGTCGCGGCGAAGGCGCCCCGGCGGCGGGCGCGGCGGGAGGCCGCGGCCGAGGCGGCGTCGGCGTGGGCGAGCGGGAAGAGCGCCAGCACGAGGCGGCGCGCGGCGAGCGGCTTGGAGAGCGACATCTCCCGCGGGGAAGGGGCTCCGGTGCGGCGGCCGGGCGCGGAAGGAGGCGAGGGTTTAGTTTAGGGCCTGTTGGGCCTGGGAGGGCCGGAAGGAACAGAGTTGGCACTTTGCAGCGGGTGTCTACCTGACACGATGTGAGGCTCGATCGGCTACTTACTGTACTTGGTCCATGATATAACCAAATTCTAATAACCGAAATATTAATACCGTAAAAATCGGAAAACCTATTTTTTTAACACAGTACAGACGCAAGCGCCTATACATACGCGCACCCACTCAAACATATGAACGCACACACACTCTATCCCTATGAGCACCTCCGGGAGATTGAGCCGGCATATCATCTTGAGATTTACAAAGTCACCGTAGGCGCCTCGTCGTCGACTGGAACGTCTCCTCCCACTGAAAGCGCATCGCGCGAAAATCCTGAAATAAATTCAGGAATAATGCGAGCACCAGGACTTGAACCCTGGTGGGTTGAGGATACCATTGTCCTTCTAACCATATAACCACAAGTTGGTTCGCAAAAATCGGAAAACCTATTTAATCGAACCATGTAAACCATATATCGAATGCACAGAGTTACACTCATCCCATCCGTAGTATCCCAACTTTGGCCGTCGGTTCCAGCAATTGTGCCAGTCAGTCCTAGCAGTCGTCATTGTAGGTTGCTGCATCCCGTCATCGTCCCGGCAACCATGGCCACCAGTTACAACAATTGTGCTTGCCCTTCCTAGCAGTCGTTGAGGCGAGCCAGACGGTTCCAGCAAACTTCGCGGCGGGTCGTAACATTTAATCAACGCTTGGAGCGCTGATGTCGCTGATCCCAACAACCGTGGTTGTTGGTTCTAGCAACTTTGATCGCCGGTTGCAACATCCATGGTCGCTGGTCCCAGCAACTGTCTCCATCGGGCGTGGCCCGTGGCCCATCGTCCTATGCTCACACTACCCGTGAGGTTGCAGTCGTGACTGGTAACGGTCTCCCGCACCAGTGGTCTCCTTGGGGGTTCCATCCACCACTATAGCATGACACATTGCCTGAATCCACCCCATGATGGGGTGAGATCATCGGCCATCCCACTGAAGCCGTCGCGCAGTCACGGCTTGCAAACTCCCCATCCATCACAGCATCAGAAGTAGACACGAGCTATGGGGTGGAAGGAGAGTGAGCACAGTGGTGACGCGGGAGCTAGGTGGAAGGAAAGGTAGGGTCGCACGACAAAAAAGAGAAGGAAAACGGGAGGTGGTCGTCATGGGGCATGGAAAGGAGAGAAAAGAAGATACAATAGAGGGACGCTCTTGTGTGGGTCTCACCAGACGACGTGGCAAGCTCGCGAGGATGCGTGGCGAGTGGGTGGCAAGGCAACCTATCTCATGCGAGATCGGTTGGTCGACACAAATCATTTATCATTTTTATAGTCGTTTGGACTTTATTTTGAGGATCGTGCATCAAATGATGAAGCACATGACCTTACTAAATACTCCCTCCATTTCATAATGTAGTGCCTATAGATTTTTAATAAAGTCAAACATTACAAACTTTGACCATATTTATGAAGAAAAATAGATACATCTAGAATACCAATGCACATCATTGGATACATAATGAGTTATATTTTCAGATTGTACCTGTTTGATATTGTAGATGTAGACAACTTTCTCTATATACTTAGTCAAAGTTGGCAAAGTTTGACTTTCAGAAAAATCTATAGGCACTACTAGCAAGATGCCCGTGCATTGCACGGAACATCAAGATGCATTTTTTTTACAAAACACCTGTTTGTGATTGAGCCATGCAAGAGTAATCACATGTGTAAAAACTAATGATATCTCAAGAATTTTATCGGAAAAATGGTATCTCGAGAATTTCATCGAAAAAATGATATCTCGAGAAAGATGAGAGATAAGGTGAGGAGGAGTGGGGCGTGGTGGTGACTGGTGGTCGGACTGGGCGGAGGCATGGGGATGGACGGCGCCGGCAGCGGCCACCATGCCAGATTGTTCCAGAGACTTCCTTTTTTAATTGCTCGGCAAGGCCTTATCTGTAAATGTGGAGAGAGGTGCGGGTTTTTTTTGTAAAATTGTTATAGTTTGCTTTCTATCCGTCAGATGTAGATCGGACGGTCTATATTACAAGATGGCAGGCACATCATCATCACCAACTCAGTTTTTTATAGAGGTAATTACACCCGAAGTCATAGAACTTGCATGTGATGGTCAGTTTGGTGCACAAACTTGTAAAATACGTGTTTCTGGTCATCAAACTTGCACGAGCGTTCATATACGGTCACATTTCATGTACACGGATGTATCCATGGCCTATGTGGCATTCCAGTGTGCCAGGGCCCACTGTCATCCGCTGTAGCATGTAGATCTGTAGAGAAGCCTTTGGCTTTTTTTCTATTAAACCCCTAAAAATAAAATGAAAAAACAAGCGATATGGGGTTTGGAAGCTGCAACGTGCCCAGTAGTCTCACGTGGACAACCATCAGACTACTGATCATTCATATCTATATAGCACGACTAATTTCTGTACCATATAAACATTGACTGAAAATAAATTTTACAAGAAATGTAACACGGAAAAAATGAGCACCGTGGCTCGACCATGTGACCTTGTGGTCAAGGTTAACTAAGGTTACCACCGACAACACAATACGTCCAGATGTAAGAAAACAATTTATATTCTTGTGCTTGTGACATTCAAAAAATATTTATGTGTTACAAAAAAAGGTATGCGACATTTTAAAAAGTTCCAAAAACTTGTATTTGAAAAAATGTTAATCAACACAACACGTCCAGATTAACATTTTTTCAAATACAAGTTTTGAAACTTATGTGTATGGAAACATATACTCCATATGATACACATATGTTTTGATGTTTTAAATACTCCAGTATACATCTATGTTATGATACACACATATATATTTTAAATACTCCGGTATACATCTATGTTTGGAGTATTTAAAAAATTTGCTTAATACTTTTTAAACATATGATTAACATTTTTTTCAAATACAAGTTTTGAAACTTTTTTCAACTATGTTTTTAACATTTTCGGATGGTACCAAACATTTTTAAGCTACACAAACAGTTTTATACATTGTATAGGCATTTAAAAAATGTCATGACCAGTTTTTTTGGAATGCATGCACATTTTAAAAATGCAACGTATCATTTTTAATTACACAAATGTGGTTTACAATGTTTAAACATTTTTTTAAATGTCACACACCTTTTTTTTGTAACACATAAACATTTATTAAATATCACAAACACAAGAATATTTTTTTTCTTACATAGAACAAGAAGGAATAACAACATGAAAAATATTTATCCCATTTGGATATGTTGTGTTTTCAAAACCCGGTGGTAATCTTAGTTAACATTGACCACGAGGTCACATAGTCGAACCACGGCGCTTCCTTTTTTGGGGTTACATTTCTTGTAAAATTGACTTTTCAGCCGTGTTTATATGATACAAAAATTATTTGTGCTACCTAGACATGAATGATCATCGGTTTGGTGGTTGTTAACCCGAGCCTAGTAGGGGCACGTCCCTAGTTCGTAACCGAACCGTCCCTTGTTTTTCCATTTCATTTTAGGGGCTTTATACGTAAATAAAAAATTATTTTATTTTAGGGGCTTAATAAGTTAAAAAATAGGTGCATAATATGTAAATAAAGAAAAAGCATGCAGATCTACCATGCGTCGCGGGGTTACGGTGGGCCCTGGCCATGCTGGCAATGCCACATAGGCCACAGATACGTCTGCGTACATAAAATGTGACCGTATATGAACGTTTGTGCAAGTTTGATGACCAGAAACACGTATTTTACAAGTTTGTGCACCAAACTGACCGTTGCGTGCAAGTTCTATGACTCCTGATGTATTTACCTCTTTTTTATAAGAGCAGAGACATTATGGAATGGAGGGAGTATTTAGTAAGGTTATGTGCTTAGTAAGTTTCTAGAAAAATCTACTAAAGAAGAGTTTTGATTACAAAAACCATATTGAAATCTTGATTCTCTGAGTTAATAACAACATCAAAGTGTGGTTTCCGCTCCTCCTCTTCTCCATGTCGATCACTCTCGGCCCCTCTTGCCGCGGAGAGACCATGGCCTTGACGGCGGCGACGACAGGCTGAGAAGACAAAAATTACCTCTAAATCCGACTTGTCATGGCGGGGAAGGGCGAAGTCAAATCTTGTCGAGTTTGACGTCTTTTCTTTGTGTTGGATGTGAAGCTTTGATGCTAGACGTAACGATGCAGCTAGTAGCTTTTTAATCTTTTACTCTCTCTGTCCGATAACGTAAGATGTTTTTTGACACTCTATTTATTAGATGTGTGCGTGTGAAAATCCAGAATCCGAGCTTCTCACGTTGACATATCTTGAGGCAGCGAAGAAGTGAAGGCTCTGTCATTTGCCTTCACCGCCTGCAAACGCAGTGCTGGCATTCAGAACAAGATGAAGAAACCAGAGCAAACGCCGTGCAGAATGCAGGTGCAGGCCTACCTCTTTGTCCCAGTCGGTCGCGCACTCGGAAATGGCGAGGAGCGAGAGCATCTGCACCACCAGACCGCACCATATCCCGAACCACAGCCCCTGATCCAGATCCAGAAGACGAAATAGTTTTACTCCAAGCTGGAGTACATCTTTTAATTACTGTAAAAATGGAAGACGAAATAGGTTTATGAAACAGAGAGGGAGAGAGGCACTACCATTCCTCCAAGGAGGAAGACGAAGGCGAAGAAGAAGGCCGCGGGAATGCCGACGAGGTAGTACGCCCCGAGGTTGCCGAACGCGGCCATCTTCTGCTGCCCGCAGCCCCTGACAACGCCTGCAGCCAAAGTAGGCAACAACAGAATGCGTACTGATGGTCTAATGGTTGGTTGGTTTGTTTGTTTGTACCTGAGAGGACGCACTGGAGGCCGTCGAAGACGACGGACATGGCGAGGACGGGCATCATCCGGGCGACGTAGCCGGCCACCTCCG